TATCATCTCTTGGCTCTCTTTCCTACTGCACCTGAATCTGGGTCCTCTGCATGTACTCAGCTTGATCATGCCATTCCTGACTTTTATGGAATAAACTGGTGTTGTTTGTGCTCCGTGCTAGAAACAGGACATTCTTACTGTGATGGACTATATTGATGTATGTGTTATAAAACAATTTTCACAAAATCTGCTTCTATATTTTCCTTTGTAAGTATTTTTGATGCTGCCTCCCTTTTCTCCCTGGAGTATGTTTCAGGGCGGGATAATCTATGATTGACAAGTCGTTACTATGGCGACCTGTCAATCAGGCTAGAGCCGACTCGTGCCCTCGGCACTGTGTAAATTTAACCAGCGCCGTTGAAAAGGCTTATTAAGAGTCGGCTTTTCACTTTCTCTGGTGAGTACATATAGTTTTAAGACTGTTGTTCGCTAGACAAAATTATCAGCCCTGTTAAAATGACAGTTAACGTGAGTTACATATGCACCTAACTAAGCAAGCTAGCTAGCTCCACACATGGCCGTTAGCTCCACCGTATCGTCACTTCCGGGCACTTCCTGGTTGCAAAAACTCGACATGGCGGCGCCCTATCGGCCAAACTGTTTTTTTTATTTTTATTATTGTTATGACACATTAACATACAACACTCTCCTATGGGGAACAAAATTTAGATCACTTGGTACAAATCAAAAACCAGTCTTACAAACACAGGAAATAAATGAAAATAAATGAATAAACAGAAAGGAGAATGGGGGTACCAGTTAGTAAAAAGGCTATAGAAAACAAAATAAGGTCTCATTTCGGTGCAGCAATATGGGGAGATTGTTAAAACAATAATTGCTTGGATATATCTCTATACATCTTTCTTGCAATTATACTAGATTTAACATTCTTCAGTGATGAAAAGAACAATTTAAAATTATTTATGAACCACAATAAGGAAGGCTTAGAAGATTTCCACTTACTACAATGGATATGATATTTACCCATGAGAACAATCATATCCACCAGATCAGACGAAGGCGGATCTACATTGTCCATATAAAAGAGGATGTGTGACAAATTAAAAGATGGAATATTATCAATCAAAAGTGACAGCCAATTATGTAAATCAGACCAAAAGGTTTTGGACAAGGGACAGGAAAAGAACATGTGTTCCAGAGTCTCCTCAGCAGCCTCACAAAATATACAGGGATCTACTTCAAATTTGAACCTTTTTTTAAGAAAGTCTGCAACCGGATAGATTTTGTAAATTATTTTAAAATGAGTTTCTTTTATTTTAGGGGAAATGGGCCATTTGATGAATTTGAAATGTGGTTTATCTATGGACAAGGTATCCATATTTGGAACCTGTACACACAGCCCTCTGTTATAATCAGAAAAAGCTTGGATTTAAAAAAAGTACAAATATGTTTGTTATTACATTTTTATCATGTATGTGACATTCATTAATTACAAGATTGGGTAAGGTTGGTAGCGGTCTTATTCTTGCATACAGTAATGTGTTTTGGATTAGCTGTAGTAATGGTAATGGTATTGCTTTACATATCTTTTTATATTCTTTCTGAGTGCAGTTTAGAGTATATTTGTTCAGAAAAGCAGTATGCTCTAACAACTTACCATTATTGTCTAATGTGTCATCAACAAACACAATGCCCTTCTCATACCAATCAGTCTTAAATAATGATTTCCTATTAATTCTAATGACCCTGTTATTCCATAGGGTGGAACCATGGGGAGAAAAATTGTGAGTAAATATCATTTTCCAGTACTGAAGAAGTTGTTTGTGGAATTGTGAAAGTTTAACAGGAGTCTTGGTCACCTCAAAATCACATTGTAAGAAAAAATCAAGCCCACCTATTTTTTTAAATAAAGATCTGGGTATGTGAATCCACATAGAGTCTGGTTGTGATAAATATGTTTTCAACCAATTAATCTGAAGGGTCCCAAACATTGCTTCAAAGTCCAAGGCTTTGATACCACCTTTTTCATACTCTTTGACAAGCTGTGATTTCCTAATATAATGAGTTTTATTTTTCCAAAGGAATTGGAAAATAATTGAATTGATTTTTTTAACATTATTAGAAGATACATACAGGGAGAGACAAGGGTAAATTACACTGGAAATGCCAATTGTTTTAGATAGCTAACTCTACCAAAGATAGTGAGGTCTCTGGTTAACCAACGACTCAGTGCCTTTTTCATATCGATTAAACGGTCAGAAAAATCTTCCCTCCTAATAGCATTTTTGGATAAGACTATTCCTAAATATTTACTTCAGTCTTAACCTTTATTGAAGCAATACTGGAATCTTCAGATCAGGGACGTGCACAGGAATTTTGAAGGGCAGTTGCTCTGACCTGAAAAAGGCACCCCCCCCCCAAAAAAAAAACAAACAAAAAAACATGGGATATATGAAGGACTGAGAAAAAAACATTTTTTATTAAAAAATATACAAAAAGTAAAAACACTTAAATACAGCACTCAATAACCTAAACTACTATTAATAACAAAACAGAAAAACATGACTCGAGTCATGAAAAAGAGTTCCTTATATTATTGTTTATTGTTTTTTTAATCATTATTATTATTTTTTTTTTCCTTTTTTTTTTTTATTTGAAAATAAATAATCTAGATTGAATTGACAGATGGGGAAAACTCGCTTCTAATAAAGTATTAAATAAAAAAACGCTTAGATTTCGGAAAAAAATACAATCCTTTTTTAACCTTTTGGCTTCCCGTACATTCAGTTGCGCTTCTAGCTCGTATTCACTTCTGTTGGTACGTATCACGTATGGTAACTGGGCAAAACTACGCATGATTTGTTGTAGTATGATTGCATAAAGGAAGGAAACAGGAATTCCGGTAGGGAACAGAATCGACTGACGTGCAGGCAGCGCTGCAGCAGTGCAGCCACTTAAACAGAGTTTGCCCTTCCCTACTGACTTTCACTTTCGGTGCCCGAATGGAAGTGAATGAGGCTTTGCGATCGCGATTATTTTTTATGTTATTTTTTTTCTCGGAAGGGCGAGTCGGAAGGGCGACTTGAGTCAGGAAAGGCAAACGGGCAGTTGCCCGGGCAACCAGAGCAACCCCCCTGTGCACGTCCCTGCTTCAGATGAATGAATGGGAAATAGCTCACATTCGCCAAACTCAAGGCTTCAAAAACGGCGGTCCACAAACCAACGGGTGACGTCACGATGACTACGTCCATTTCTTATCTACAGTCTATGGCTACAACTCACTCTCCAGTGAAGTCAAGACACTAGTAGATCTGATCACATCGCTATAACCAATCCTGCTTCAGACTGATGTTGGCACCACCCACTCAATTAGCATACACGCACAGGCTTAAATAAATGTGGAAATACATAAATAAATAAATGAATGTAGAAATGCATAAATAAATACAGAAACAGCCTTTTTTATTATAAAACTATATTTAGGCTAATTATAATTTATTTCTTATTTACTACATTTATTTATTAATTTATAGATATGTCATTTTTCGTCCCTCATACTATTGTCCTTAAATGGTGCCATTTCTTAAGCAAGATATTGTTGTGTTTTAGATCCTTTTAATTTTTCTTGTAAGCAGGTTCATAGTAGAGATGATGCTATTAACAGCATTTCACGTCTGGTCAGTAGGGTTGGGCGGTGTCTAAAAAAATTCCATCGGACTATGTCTACAATGAAACATCGGATGGACGAGGTCATCGTGCGTGCAAACGCGCGTGGGGACTATTAACTTACGTTACAAGTCGCGGTGGATATTTTACGCATGGACCAGGTAAAGCAGCATTGAACAGTGAACACACAAGGTGCAGATGTTGGTTTCAGTTGTTTGAGGCTACGTCATTAATAAGCCGTGCGGCTCACCTGCTGCCGTGATAACGGATCATGGGTGGAAATATATGAAAAAAAAGACGAATTCTGCGGGGGAGAGAGACTGAGAGAGGCGGGGCAAACCGGGGTGTTTACCTGAGGTGAGAGTGTGTGGAGAAGAGAATTCCAAGGCAGGTGCAAAGCATACTTAAAAACAATAATAAACAATAAAAAGAATGTTCGTGGTCATTAAAACCTGCTTTGCAGGGTGGTATAATGTGAAAAATTTAGATATTTTTGCAGACTCAAAGGCTGATGCACATTTTGTTTGTTGATTTTAGTTCAGCTTTTAACAGGGACGTGCACAGGAATTTTGAAGGGCAGTTGCTCTGACCTGAAAAAAGGCACTAAACACAGTATCCAAAATGTATTAACAATATAAATGTCACCAAAATACATATGAGAAAAAGAGTTCCTTATATTATTGTTTATTGTTTTTTTAATCATTATTATTTTTTATTTTTTTCCTTTTTTTTTTATTTGAAAATAAATAATCTAGATTGAATTGACAGATGGGGAAAACTCTAATAAAATATAAATAAAAAACGCTTAGATTTCGGAAAAAAATACAATCCTTTTTAACCTTTTGGCTTCCCGTACATTCAGTTGCGCTTCTAGCTCGTATTCACTTCTGTTGGTACGTATCACGTATGGTAACTGGGCAAAACTACGCATGATTTGTTGTAGTATGATTGCATAAAGGAAGGAAACAGGAATTCCGGTAGGGAACAGAATCGACTGACGTGCAGGCAGCGCTGCAGCAGTGCAGCCACTTAAACAGAGTTTGCCCTTCCCCTACTGACTTTCACTTTCGGTGCCCGAATGGAAGTGAATGAGGCTTTGCGATCGCGATTATTTTTTTATTTTATTTATTTTTCTCGGAAGGGCGAGTCGGAAGGGCAACTTGAGTCAGGAAAGGCAAACGGGCAGTTGCCCGGGCAACCAGAGCAACCCCCCTGTGCACGTCCCTGATCAACAAAAAATATGTACACCGTGCCTGGGCCCTGTTTCAGAAAGTGGGTTTATTGAAAACTCTGAGTAAGTTCAGCCCGAGATGAGGGAAACTCTGGGTTTTCTGTTTCATAGAGCGAGATCAGATAAACTCTGTAACCCTGCAACTTACGCTGTGAACCCGACCTGCTCGGGAGGAGGTTTAGTTGAACAAACGCTGAGTTTCTCTCTGACTCCTCCTGCGGAGCCTGAAGCGGCTGTCTGACATTTCCTCATTCAGACTGTCGATATCAAAGCACATAGTGGAGCACAGTTGCGTCTTTACAAACATCGAAATCACTGTCAAATAGGCTGTTAGTTGTTTTTTTTTTTTACCCAAACATGATCTTGAACATGACGCTTTATGATCAATCTGTCATCGAGGTATGGACAAAGAGTTATCTTTGGACATCATAAATTTATCCTCAGCACAAAATAAGATCTATAAGCTACATTTTTCTTCTTATAACACAGTTACTCTGTGGATAAAACACTTGGGCCTACTGTGCGCTGCAGTGCTACAGTAATCATTGTTTAAACTAATCTATATAAAACTGATCAATCAACAGTAACCTTTCATATTGTTGTTGCACTGATTGAACATTCCTCTCGTAGTTATCAGCTGGATATAATGTGAATACTTCTGAGTGAGGATGACTGTGGTGCAGCTGAAACAAATAAATTTAGTTTAAAAGTGTGTTTTTCATTATCTGCTGATAGTCTGAATGTGTTTTGACAGCATTTCATAAAATACGAAATGAGCAAGATTTTATTACACTGTAAACATAAGTGATTGCCTCAAATGGTTTAAGTTATTGACAGTAGAGAAAATTAATTTGTTTAAGTATAATCAACTAAAATGAATACACATGAATTACACACACTTAAATGGTAAGTAATCAAAATAGAAAAGGAGTCTACTTAAAAGTACAATAGTCAAAACTTAATATAAGTCAAATACACTTAAAATTCTAGTTTTATTAAAAATATGAATATATAAAATTTTAAAATATTATATTTGAAATAAGAAAATTCAAATTGAATTATGCTTTTGTCAATGACCACACAATGCAGTACATTTCATTTATTTTATTTAGCAGCAACAAAGCAGTACAAACATTACAGTACCTTGCTATGATGCAGCAAACAGAACATGTGTATTGAATTAGGAAACGATTTCCTTCCAAATACAATCACAGCATAGTTTTGTAATTTTTTGCTCTGTGAACAATTTTCAAGTATGAAAAAAAATGTAGTAGCATACTGCGAGTGCAAAAGGAAAAACTGTATGCTATGTGTGCCACACAACAAAGCAGGCTTTAAGAACAACTATGCAGTGAGGACCAGAGTTGTTAAAAAACTGCAACTTTCTGACATGTGTCCTCTGTAGAATTATTTCAGTAAAATGAACAACACTGGACACATGCAGTACAAGAAGTATCACATACAAAATGAGCAACTGCAAGAATATTTGCTCCATTGAGTGCAATGTATTTGTGCAACAATCCAAACACAGACACGAAGAATTGTGTCATGAGCATAAATGTGTCTTACACCGCAAGATCATTCTTCAGCTTTTGAACCTTGGGAGGTAGCTCACTTCGACCCAAATTTAGCATTACCTGCTGAATGAAAGCAAATGTGTTTTTAAGCACTTGGGGTACTGCAGGTGGAGTGCGTAGGTAAAGCCAAACAAGAGGCACATTGCCTGAGGTAGGTTGGTGAGTGCTTCCATTACAAGGCTGCCCTCTAGGATGATCCCCACTCTTAAGGGGTTTAGTTGTTGCGATGCTGGGCTTGCAGCGCTGGTGTCCTCATTGCAGAGGATTCCCACGGGAATGTCCACATGTCATTAATATTCTGTAGCGCGAGAAACAAGAAAAAAGAGCATTTTCAGGTTAACAGCAGTTTGTCTACAATCAGCTGTGTGGTCTTCATAAACATTATGATTTTCATAATTCACAGTGGTTTTATTTTCGATAATGTTGTGTAAACAAGCTATTAGCGACATTGTTTGTGTGTTCATGTACAGTGAGGAAAATAAGTATTTGAACACCCTGCTATTTTGCAAGTTCTCCCACTTAGAAATCATGGAGGGGTCTGAAATGACAACATCGTAGGTGCATGTCCACTGTGAGAGACAATCTAAAAAAAAAAAAAAATCCAGAAATCACAATGTATGATTTTTTAACCATTTATTTGTATGATACAGCTGCAAATAAGTATTTGAACACCTGAGAAAGTCAATGTTAATATTTGGTACAGTAGCCTTTATTTGCAATTACAGAGGTCAAACGTTTCCTGTAGTTTTCACCAGGTTTGCACACACTGCAGGAGGGATTTGGCCCACTCCTCCACACAGATCTTCTCTAGATCAGTCAGGTTTCTGGGCTGTCGCTGAGAAACACGGAGTTTGAGCTCCCTCCAAAGATTCTCTATTGGGTTTAGGTCTGGAGACTGGCTAGGCCACGCCAGAACCTTGACATGCTTCTTACAGAGCCACTCCTTGGTTTCCTGGCTGTGTGCTTCGGGTCATTGTCATGTTGGAAGACCCGGCCTCGACCATTCTTCAATGCTCTAACTGAGGGAAGGAGGTTGTTCCCCAAAATCTCGCAATACATGGCATGACAGTCATGTTTAGCTTCTTCCATTTTCTAATGATTGCTCCAACAGTGGACCTTTTTTCACCAAGCTGCTTGGCAATTTCCCCGTAGCCCTTTCCAGCCTTGTGGAGGTGTACAATTTTGTCTCTAGTGTCTTTGGACAGCTCTTTGGTCTTGGCCATGTTAGTAGTTGGATTCTTACTGATTGGATGGGGTGGACAGGTGTCTTTATGCAGCTAACGACCTCAAACAGGTGCATCTAATTTAGGATAATAAATGGAGTGGAGGTGGACATTTTGAAGGCAGACTAACAGGTCTTTGAGAGTCAGAATTCTAGCTGATAGACAGGTGTTCAAATACTTATTTGCAGCTGTATCATACAAATAAATAGTTAAAAAATTATACATTGTGATTTCTGGATTTTTTTTTAAGATTATGTCTCTCACAGTGGACATGCACCTACGATGACAATTTCAGACCCCTCCATGATTTCTAAGTGGGAGAACTTGCAAAATAGCAGGGTGTTCAAATACTTATTTTCCTCACTGTATAGGTGTCTGTTGTGGTGTAGATCCTATGTTTTGATAATAGGTGGTGTTTTGGACAATGTGATAGAGAATAGAGAAGGGTTAATTACTCTTCAAGTGTACTGTTGACCAGGGAGAAGCACTCGGTTTTTGAGTATTAGTTTATTCTCCATTCAAGTTATTATTGGGATAAGTATGCGTAGATCATTAAAGGCAATATTAGAAATACATCGGAGATGTTTGGATTCATTCAGTGGAGCCGTCACAAACTATGCTTCAACTGGACGTTCCAACAGCAGCCCCTCAGTGGTTTAGGGTTTTGGTTTTTGCAGAAATCAAGTCACTATACAAGCCCTTTGAATTTTGCATAATTTGCCGTATTAAATGCAGTAAATAATTTCCTCTTGCTTACAGTGAAAGCACATTATCAAGTTAAAATCAACTTAAGTTTAATGAAACATCTTCATAAATGCTAATTATCGTAACCCATCATCCCAAATAAACAAAAACTGGAATGGAAAAACTGAGTCAAACACCAATCAAAAAACTTTACTCACCAAACTGCTCTTAAAGAACGTAGACGCATCATCCCCAAGAATGACTGGAAGTCCTTTCAGGACAAGACATCTAATGGCTGTTGGCTCAGTGCTCTGCAAAGAGACTTAACACAAGAAATATATCTTATATCAGTTATTTGTTCATACAGAGAAGTACCACAAGGGAAGTTGGGAGAATTTGTTTTTGTAATATGTATGAACTAACCATGAATATATTACAAGAAAAAACAGAAATATCAACCCACTGTTGTCTGTTGTACCAGGTCAGCTAACTGCTTGCCTATCCGACCTGAAAAATATGAAATAACTTCAATTTCGATATTCAGGCAGAGTTACTTATAACATTAATAAACATCTCCGCACATGTTGTCCAGTTATGTATGTAACACAAAAAAAGACAAGATATTTAAAGGACACTTTCACAAACCTGGCTTTCAGTGAAAAGCGCTGGCCAGCGTTGGACCATCTGGCTAATGTCAGGCTCATGCTTTACAACCTCCTCCCTTCTAAGGGCAAATGTGATGTCCATGTTTTGTCTAATAAGAATCATTTGGGTTTTTCCTCTGCATTTCATTGACCACGGCCTCTCGAACAGCTTCAAGCCTTGCGACATCCATTCCCTCTGGTAATTCTGGAAGGTAATTGATCTCCCCTTTTCTTGGCTTCTTTATGTTTTTGCGAGAAGGCTCACCATCAGCATTGTTTATTCCACGTTTACCTCCATTAACTGTTACATCAGGCCGTCCCAGCTGGCATATTTTGTTCTGTAATTCCCCATTTTGAATTTAAGACTGTTTATCCATCCCTGACAGCCAGATGATGAGCTTTGCTCTTTAAGGCAGGGGTGTTCTGCTACCAAGGCTTTTGCGACAACTTCAAACTCCTCCTTCGTTGGGTAAGCTTTGTAGCCATAGATTGTCTCTGCCAGATTCTCAAGAATATCATGCTTCATATCCTTTGTCACTTTCAGGTAAGTGCCATCATGAAGATACATCAGATTTCCTTGGCGTAATCCACGTCTACAGGAAACTTTGGAATGTCAAATACCTCAGGCCACTGTTTTCGACCATCCAGAGATGAGGTAGACAAGATCTCTGTGTCAGGTTGGCTGCTCACATCACTGCTATTTCACTTTGTGACACTGGGATGAGATCAGGACAGGAATAATTCGGATGGTAGGTTTCTCAGGGAGGTCAGAAATGTCTGTACGGTTGTAGGGTCCTCGTACTGTAAAGTGAAGTTGTATTCAGGTTCAACTGATTTCTTCAACCAGTTTATTAAATCATGAACTGTATTTGGACTAGGAGTCATGGTCATTTTTGTATGTCCCCCTCAAAAAAAGAACTCCCATCGTCAGCTTCTGTTGTGTAGCCATCTGAGAAAAAAGAAACATTGCCAGTTTTAGAATATAACAAATCGCTTGAGAGTTACCATAAGCTTCCCTTGTACTTTGTATGCTGACAGTGGAAAGACATTATTTAAATCAGACAGCTCAACAACGCACATTGAAGGGCCATCAGTGTGGCATAGCTTGTAGGATCGAAAGTGCTCATGGTACCACGCCGTCATTTTTTTGCAGATAAACAAAATGTCTGGGTTAGCGGCAACAATCTGTATAATCTGACCAAATTCAGGGAGACCTGAACAGGAAACAATACAGAGCATCATATCTATGTTATACTTTATTCCGTCGATGCAGGCAGATGATGCAACAAGCACTGACCCAGTAGTGGTTATGTTTTGAGGGAGTACTCTCTGAACATCACTGGGAAAAGATGTGACCTAGACCATTGCAACCTTTGCCATGTCAACTGCTGGCCTGAAAAATGAGCTACAGTCCAAATAGTAGCTGAGTGCTTTCTGGTGTTTAGCAAGAGTCAGGGCCACATTTTTAAAATCCTGGGACTCTGACAACTTTTTGAAGAATTTATGCTTACCCTCAAAGCGCATAGTCCAAACCTCAGTCAAAGGACCAAATGTCTTTATCAGGTGAGGATAATGTTCCACATAGTGATGTTTTGGTCGCAATATGAAATTTGGAAAAGGTTGACTGCAGCAGCTCTCTGTGCTCTGCCAACGTGCATCAGTGTGCTTAGGTGCCACAACAAGTTCCACAATATCTTTGAGGAGCCTGAGAATTTCCCAATAGTTATTTCCCTCAGGGACACAGTGATCAACAAAAGGTGGAAGAAGCCTGATGACGGACCAGTTTTTGTGACCATTTCCACCAATGGTCCCTTTGGTTGAAAATCCTTTGCCAATTGTCTGAGGCTGATCTGTCTTGTCTGTAAATATGTTTTCCTTAAAGTGCTCTCCATCGCATATGAACTATATTCACGTGGAACATGCACCTTTTCTGTCATTGCTTTATCTAAAATGTCAGTTTTGTTTAGTAGTTGCTGTAGCATGTGTTGTATGGGGACATATACAACTGTTTTTGTGCCTTATTCAACAACATATTCTATAGGCATCATTATACCACCGTTTGTATTAGACCGCAGCATTCTTAGGTGAGCAAAAGTAATGAAACAACTAATCTTAAAGTAAATAACATTTAATATTTGGTGGCATAACCCTTGCTTGCAAAAACTGCCTCAAGCCTGCGACCCATCGACATCACCAAACTGTTCAAGGCTTTTATCGCAGCTTCTTTCAGCATTTCTCCGTAAATTGGCAGACAAAATGTTTCTGTCCACTTCTGAATTCATTCTACTGCTACCATCATCAGTTACATCATCAATAAATATTAATGAGCCTGTTACAGAAGCCGCCATGCACGCCCAAGCCATGACATCACCTCCACCAGGCTTCACAGATGAGCTTGGATGCTTCGGATCATAACCAGTTCCTTTCTTTCTCCACACTTTGGCCTTTCCATCACTTGCTAGAGATTAATCTTGGTCTCATCAGTCCATAAGATTGTGTTTCACAACTTTAGCGGCTCATCTCTGTACTTATTTGCAAATTTCAATCTGGCCTTCCGATACTTCTGCTGATGAGTGGTTTGCATCTTGTGGTGTGGCCTCTATATTTCTGCTCTCTGAGTCTTCTTCCAACAGTGCATTTTGAATACCAGGAAATGAGACTGTATGTTTGGGATTTATTGTTAAGAGTGTTTTGTAGTTTTATTTCATTACAGCCAAACGTTTAGCTAATAGAATGTAGACCGTTGGATCCTGAACCGTTGATTAGCAGCGCTGTAGTTTACCATTGCCTTGGCAACCAGGTTTACGTCATACGTAAACAAAGAGGATGAATGAGAGAGAGTTTGATCATTAATGTTATTGATATAGATATACTTTATTAATCCCACAAGGGGAAACTCAATGTTTTCACTCGGTTGTTACTTGTTAGTATTTTACACACAAGTCTGTAAGCAGAATTGTAATTTTATATTGTAGATACTAGAACGATAGAGAATGAGCACTTTTAATTTAGAAATATAGAATTTATCATTTTTAATAGTTTACTTTTGTATAACAGCCTATTCTGTGTTTATTGTGAGTATGTTATCTTATTGATTTTAAAGACGTGGTATTATGCTAATTTTCAGGTTCAAAATCTTAATTAGGGGTTGTACCAGAACAGATTTACATGGTTTAATTATCAAAAAACTCCATATTTTTCTCATACTGCACATTGCTGCAGCTCCTCTTTTCACCCTGTGTGTTGTTCGCTCCGCTCTTGAGCTACAGAGTGATGCATCTTACTTGTACAAAATCTTTGTTAGGAGTTGCATGCGCAGTTCCCAGGTAAGCACTACTAGCCAATCAGAAGCAGAGAAGGGCGAGTCGTAAGAAACAAGGTAGTGTGATCCAAATCAAAGCCGCTTCAGACTGAGACGTAACCTAGCAGATGGTATAAGTTACTCACAAGTCCACAACATCATTGTTCCAATTCTTACAGAGTCGGAGTTGCATCGTCTTTTAGGACTAAACGTTGAACTGTTGCCGGTGTTCTGACGATCTCTGCTGCCTTGCTGAAAAATGCTACCACAGCGCAAATCGATAGACTCGACTCTACTCGGCCCTGCTCCGTTTTCCATTAGACAGTACCCAGAGATAGTACGTAGCTTGTCGTCATAGCGACCCCACACACAACTGCCGCGACGTAATGTTCAATGCGACACACACACCAGCGATCTACACAGCTTTCTCTTTTTTAAGTTAAAATGTTTCAACATTCTCAGAATGTAAAGACAGATAAGCGGTATGAAAACCTTCCAGCTGTGTTTTCCTCTGCTGTTTGCTGCAGCGGTCTGTGTGACGGCGGGAGCAGAGGGCTCTGTGAGCAGGCGGCTGGCCGGACTCATACACTCCTCCCGCAGGTTGGCACAGGCTTCCCCTGCAGCCGCTTGCGGAGCTCCTCAACTCTGAAAATATTCAAGCACATTTTTGTTCTGCCATCACTTCTCGTAAAACTGTCAATATTCGAAATCTACACAGTTGATTTCACCTCAAAACTTCTCAGAAGTGGATTTAGTGGTGAAATTCATACGAAAACTGTAAAATATAAAACTTTCTGTTGCTGGCCTCTGTCTGGTGCAGCAATGATGATGCAGTGAATAGTGAATATTCTCTCTGACCAATCAGCAGTCTGTCGTGTTTTCACGTTACATTTTAGTTTCCCTCAGCTCGCTTGGAACCTCGATGGAGTTGAGGTGATATGAAAAAAAGTACCTGGAAGCAGGTACAGGTACAACATTTCTAAAATGGAAACCAACAAAGGCGAGTCGAGCCAAAGGGCCTCCGCTCAGACTAGCTTGGTTTGAGGGCGTGTCTGACCCCGCTAGCCGCTTGGCAAGCTTTATGACGCGTTTTCATTGTGATGTCACAGTAAAGGAATGAAGGGCTGGACTACAAACCAGCTGTTTTCAAGCGGTTCAGAGCAGAGCTTTCTGTGGGAGATGGGAACTCCCTTTGGGCTTGACTTTGGGCTTTTTCACTTTGCAAACCTGTTACATGCACAAAAAAGAGAAATAACTCAATAAAGTAGAGGGAAAAAGCCAAAAAGCACAATACCACCTCTTGTAAGTGAAGATATTTAGGGAATGTATAAATATTACTGTATTTTGATGTATTGAGATCTTAATATCAAATTGTAATTTTTGTATTATATTGTTATTGTTATATTGTAATTTTTGTATTGTTCCAACAAAGTTCAGTTGGCAGTTATCACAAGAAAAAAGTAAAACATCTGAGGAGCAGCCAACTCACCACCGTGTATTTCATTTATTCTTTCAGAGTAAATCTTTTCTAAAATATGTCAACCCTTGAGACAACTTGCACTCTATGGGTGTAACACAGATTATCAAGGTTACCCTGTATACGTGGACTACACACTACATCTGTCTTCAGTGTTAAAGAGAACAATTAATACATACCACTTAAGAAAATATTTTTTCATCCTGACTTGTTCCACTGGAGATAGGGCTAAACGATTAATTACATTTGCGATTATATGATAAAACGAGATTTATCTGCAGTCTGCAGAGGAAGCATCAAGTTGAACTGTTGTGGTGAATTACAACCTTGTCTATTACACGAGAGAGCCATCACTTGGTTTTATTTTTGTCGTCCAATTTTTGCATTGAACCTCAAACGGAATGTTTTTTATTTGCTTGCTCAGATACAGAAAAGGAGGTTTTAGTTGAGAGACAGAGTCTTGTGGAGATTTGAACTGAGAGTAGGACTCATTAATTGGTGGTACTTTACTATACACTTTGGTAAACGTTATTTTTCCTGTCATCTGTAGGTAGGCCTACCTGATATTATACTGTATAATGCCATGACTTGACTCTCAAATGATCTTCCTCTGAATTATTATACAGTAATTTGATAGTTTTTCATTGCTATACTAACAATTCATGCATTACCCAATTTCATTTTAACATATAAGCCTGGCCTAAAGGAAAGAGGAGTGTATGTTTAATCTATCTAATATTGTGTGCATACAATGATTTATTGTTTGTCTGTTTTAGGGGCTGCAGAGAGAGGCGGGGCAAGCCGGTGTGTTTACCTGCAGTGTAGGCTTTTTGTGTGTCTGTGTGTGGGGAGAAGAGAATTATTATTATAAAATTTATTATTATTATTTTACAATCACGTATTTTACAATCACGATGTCACGTCAGCCATCCCCTAACCCTAGTGTGTGTGGTATCCTAGGCTTTTTGTTTTAGCTCAAAATATGTAGTTGAATCCTAATTTTAAGGCTGATCTGATTCCATAACTTTCAAACTGCTTGTTACAAGAAAGGGACACACAAAGAGAATATCTCCCTGCTAACTCGCTATGCTTCTCCTTTGCATGTTTGTGATCTCGTCTCAGTCATCAATGAATACATTAGTTAGAACTTCAAAAACAAACACTTAAAAAAAAAAAAAAACTATTTCTAGAAAACTATTTTACTAACCTCAAAGTCCTTCATCAAGGCACTTGCATCTTTTCCCGGACGGTCAATGAGACATCGGATGATGACCTCTGACCTAATAAAACCTGCACATTCAAGCAGAGGTTTGCTTTACTGCACCCACTTCATTGTCAAAATGGTTTCAGTTGAGTTAACCTTAGATAAATGAAACATCAGCAGTATAGAACCGGTATCTGTGGAGGGATGCAAAGTAAATGCAAGAAAAAAACCCACTGAATACTCAGTCATGGCACAGATGAACAGGCAGATGCATGACCATATTTAAAAGAACCATTCATTTTATCCTGACAGTATTACGTGAGACAGATAAGAGTGGCTCCCTCCACTCCAGAGGGAATACAATTGTAGTACCTTAAGTAGAATACTCACTTCTGTCCGATGTCACTAGCCTGCAGCGCTCTTCTTCACCTTGGACAGGGACAGCGAGACATCAAACAAGGCAGGCCATCACCAGGATCTGTAATGGCAGCAAACAATAAATGTAGTGATAAATGCAAAATATCCGACAGCAATATTACGAGTAACCGTTTTTTTTTTTTGATGATAAGATGATAATAATTAACATACTTGACAATAAATTCAACTTCACTTGCTCTAGCCATCATATAAAATGATAAAACCTATGTTGGACAAAGAGGGCACTCAGCTAAAGAAAAAACATAAAATACATTAGAGCAATGATTAAAAATGTAACTGTTGGAGAGAGACCGGAGAAAACTTAACATACAGCAGGTGTGGAGCAGGTGTGGAGCAGCAGGCACAGAGGTTATGATTAGGATTATATTATTTATTGTATCCACACTCTAACCTGCCCAGTTGTTTATCAATACCAGTGGGTTAATTTTCATTGACATTTAAAAAGAATAAATTCAGACAAGGTTTAGAATTTATTAACATTTTAAATATGAGAGTAAATGTTGTGTCTAGCACAGCAACAGTAAAGTTTTCAACAGCAAAGTCACTACATACACTCAATAACACTCACTGGAAAAAGATCTTAAATGTCAATAAAATAAAACATATTCATGACATCAAAATACTGAGTGTAGATTAGCAACGATGTTATTCATCCTGTCCCCCTCCAACATGTGATTCACTGGCTTGTCTCAGCCTGATAAGCAGTTAAACTCCATACAGACAGCTTTCTCTTCACCATGTTCAGTGGTGTGGTTGTAGCTACTGTGGAAAAACCATATAGAACTACCTTTCAACGCTTTCAACAAGAGAAAAATGTATTTTCACTTGGCTGTCTCCCAAGGGCCCGTGTCCACCATTACGTATGACAGCATGGCTACAACAGTTCTCAGAAAAATACCACCAGTGTGAATGCACAAAGACACGGTAAATATTCATTAACTTTTACTAGCTGGACACTTAATTTACCAGCGTTTGCAGGGAATAATCCAGGTGCTTCTTGTGGTGTGTCCTTCTCTCTTGCTGCCACTTGTTGGTAGGCAGATTTCCCATGAGGCCGCACGATCAGCGTAATGTTTGGCCCGTAACAATTTCTTAAGTAGTAGGTAAAGTTGAAATAATATTAAAGCCCCCCTCCAGTGTATTTTGACATTTCTAAGATATTTCATATTTTTCTGAGTCATTTCCTTCCAATGTCGATTAGTTTGCCAAATATTTTTGCCAAATGGCTTAATTTTGTGCTCAAAGTTGCAAAAAAGTTGCTTAGTTGTTAAAACGGGGTGGTGACGTGTGACTATAGTAATTTCATAAGTCTCGTTGAAAAAACTGTCAGGCCTCCTTAAGTCAGAGCATCAAACCGATAAACGTTGTGAGCTAACCAATTTATCATGTAATTTACTGAGAACTCTCTGTGTCTGATTGTTGATCTGTCTAGTTTAGTTCGCTAAGTTAACTAAGTTGTAGTTAGCTAGGTGTAGTTATTGCAGAAACTTAGCTTCCTCCTCTTGGTTTAGTGTGCTGTTCATTATAGCATTTGTGCGTGCGGTGTTGGAGGACAGATGACAGAAAACGCGTCGCACTTTCACAGTCTTATACACAGTCTGCAACATGCATTTTACTGACGGCCGTTTCACCAAAGCATCGGCGGAGACACCCCCCCCCCCACTCCCTCGCGGTAAAGTAAGAGCACCATAAAAAGTAGTGGGAGTTATCGTGTGCAGTGCGTGACAAGACCATCGACTGTATGATTGATAACAGCTGATAGGCCACATTAGTTTCTATCCTGGGTAAATAATAGCTGCTCCTGCCAGACAGTAAAGTGTACTAAACTTTACAGTGTAGTGATGTTAACACAGCATATCGTTAGTGGACACTCCAGCCGCTCAGTTTTTAGTTGTCATGGTAATTGATTACGTCCGACTATGAACCACACCCCCATTCTCTGTTTGAGAAAGAACGTTCCCCAAAAACGGCAGTTAAAACTGGCTGGAGGGGGTTTTAGGTTGGAATGAGTAATAATTGTGGTTCTTGAAACTAATCATTAGAATTAATCCGTTCTCAAATATTTTGATTTAAATTTACCAGACATATTACGGATATCTAAAAACTGTAATTTGTCAGGCAAATACTAATTTCATTTTGTGAAGTAAACCTAAATGATAACTGAATAAAAAATTAGCTGTTAAATCTCTAGGCATTTATTTTGGTATGTACAACTCAAACAATCACAAAAGAGATATCCAGAGATTTTATTAAGTTAGTATAGCTATTTATTACTATTATATTTACTAAGCCTGTGAATCATTGTATGCACTCACAGCGTTATCTGGTCAGTATGAGTCCCATTTTGTCCAGACTCTAGGAGCAGAATTAAATCCAAGCTGGGGCAGCATGGCTCCTCTCCTGGCTCTCTTTACCCTCCTCTGAGCGATCACCGTACCCGTGGTTTAATCCAAAAACCCCGTCTTCATCTTCCAACGACTGTACTTATGTTAGAGGTAACACGTGTTTCGGCAAGTTTTGAAGGAGCAACCGGCTGCTGCTTCTACAAGCGCTGCTGGTTGCCATAGCACTTCTAGGTTCATAACACTTGTGATGTGCCAAAGTACATGCAAATCCTTTGTGTACATTCCTGATGAAAGATTAACTCAATAATTGAGTAGCAACAAACCATTGCCTTTGAAGAATTGTTTAATAAATGACAGAGAAGTATTACAACAGAAGATCAGCTGGGCCAGAGGGCCTGTCCTCTAGGACAGTAACTATCGTCTTTGAGCAAAGGGATGGATCATCATTTAGACAGTGCAGGTCTTATGTTTTGGGGAACAATATCTTCTCCCAGCCTTGACTGAACATTCAAGGCTATCTACTTACATCGCGGGTCCTCCAACATGGATGTCACCATGTTGCGCCGCCATGTTTCTACAGAAGAGTGTGTTTCGACCAGGGACGTGCACAGGGGGTTGCTCTGGTTGCCCGGGCAACTGCCCGTTTGCCTTTCCTGACTCAAGTTGCCCTTCCGACTCGCCCTTCCGAGAAAAAAAAATAACATAAAAAAATAATCGCGATCGCAAAGCCTCATTCACTTCCATTCGGGCACCGAAAGTGAAAGTCAGTAGGGGAAGGGCAAACTCTGTTTAAGTGGCTGCACTGCTGCAGCGCTGCCTGCACGTCAGTCGATTCTGTTCCCTACCGGAATTCCTGTTTCCTTCCTTTATGCAATCATACTACAACAAATCATGCGTAGTTTTGCCCAGTTACCATACGTGATACGTACCAACAGAAGTGAATACGAGCTAGAAGCGCAACTGAATGTACGGGAAGCCAAAAGGTTAAAAAAGGATTGTATTTTTTTCCGAAATCTAAGCGTTTTTTTATTTAATATTTTATTAGAAGCGAGTTTTCCCCATCTGTCAATTCAATCTAGATTATTTATTTTCAAATAAAAAAAAAAAAAAAAAAAAAAAAATAATAATGATTAAAAAAAACAATAAACAATAATATAAGGAACTCTTTTTCTCATATGTATTTTGGTGACATTTATATTGTTAATACATTTTGGATACTGTGTTTAGTGCCTTTTTTCAGGTCAGAGCAACTGCCCTTCAAAATTCCTGTGCACGTCCCTGTACACAATATTATCTTCCCTTGCGTTTCTTCTGCACGGCACAGACCCAGAATAATGCACATGTAGGCCTATATATCTGCAACGTTGTTCTTCTATTCCATATTTATATATTTCTACATTTATTTATGTTGACTGTATGTTTGTCTACATGTAGCACCTTCTCACCACAGCAAATTCCTCGTATGTGTAAAACACTACTTGACAATTAAGCTCCTTCTGATTCTGATTCACTGAAAGCGCCTATTTATGATTATTGCCTTGACCCTATTTATGATTTTAATTCTGGACATTCTTAGGCACACTTGACTTTACTGGTGAACATATTAAACCTTTTGAAACCATTATGTATTATGTGTTGCCTTTAAATACATTTCCTAACAGATAAGTAAAAAAAGTTTTTGGGGGATTTTACAAACATGACTCCACAAAACGTTTTTCAATGCACCCAAAAATATAGCCAGTAGTAGTGTCCATATTGTGAATGACTGATATTTAACGTGTGTTTATAAATATTTATATGGAGAGTGATTTCTAAATAAATATAATTAATATTGAGACTCTTGAGAAATTATTACAAAGAAAGTGAGCTCTAACCTCTTTACAATGTCTGCAGAATGCTGCAAATGCACCCGTCGGTGTTCAAGAGGAGTTGGCAGGAGAGGTGAAGATTTACCTGCTGCGGAACCAAGATGGGTCAGTCAAATAACCTACTGATGTAGGGACTGTGACTGAGGGCATCACTGTTCTCAAACTGCTGCTAGTTGTTGGGACTATGCCTTGGATCGGAAAACCCCCAAGAATCTCAAAAGTTACAGTTTTGAGGTCTTCCAAAAAGTACTGCTGGATCTGGATCCTGGAAACCTTTCAAACTAAATTCAGTGACTGAAAAATTACCTGTGTACCTAAGTTGCTGACTACTGTCTGGCAAGATGGCTGGTGGATTGTCTTAATGTTTACATAAGTGAACATTGGATTTTGGACTGGTATTCAGTTTTGTTGTGTAATTGTTAAATCTCTGTTCTTGGTGCATATTTGCCATATGCAGAGTTCGGTTAAGCCAATTACTCTCATAGCATGGACAATTAATTAGATACACCTGAACAGTCTAATGAAATTCACAGCAGCACCTCTGTGATATTTAACAAACCATTAACATTAAATGTATCATAAAAATAGACTTTACAGCAAAGCACTAGATTGTTCAAGGTGTACCTAAAATTGTCTATTTCTAGAGAATGCACGTTTCGTCTTCATCAGAGTCCACCATGTTACTACAGTAGCCCTGATTGGACAAACCAAACAATGACTCTAGAGAGGGCCTTCCCATTTTTCAGAAGTTTCACTGCCACCGTAGTTTCTCGTGCACACTTGGCCTTAGAGCCGTCTTTGATTTGTCTGTTCTGCACTACTGTAGAAACATTACTCTGAGGAAGAGGACCCGTGCCGTCTGTGCAAATAAAAAGGCTCATTATAGGTGATTATACACTAATGAAACATAGGTTGTGAAAATCATATTCTATGTCTGCTATATTTTGCAAATCTCTCTACACACTGGACCTTACGTTAATTCAAAGGCCAATTGTTCTTGGTGCATTTCACCCATTTTTGAGAGACAGCTTACTAATGTGCAGAGTTGAGCTCACTGTTTTTATAGTGGGTCATTGTTACACGTGTAATTTGTTATTTATATTGCCTTTTTGTAAAGTAAACAGATTGGATAAATACTTTTCTATTTAAAATGCGATGTGTTTTGTTGTGCTTTGTTTTTCTTGAGATATATTGTGTATGTACTCCTGGAGATAAAGGGTAAATATAGCTAAAAGAATTAAGAACATGTAACATATATTTATTTAGATAATTAATAGTTAAATATGTATTGAATTCAGGTAAATCATTGAGTAAATATTGCACATTTGTTTTGTTAAATAATAGTATTGTTTCTAGTTATATCTACTTAGAATTTCAGTTATATCTACTCAAATTTATTAGTGGTTTTCTCAAAGGGTTTCTATTACAGACACTTAAGATTTTAATTAGATCTAGACCTACTCAATTTTATCTTTAGGATACTAAATTTAGTTAGTCAGATCTACTTAATTGTTTTAACTTTCATTTACTACTTCATGAATTCACAGCTTTTAAATTTTCTCAATATTTTTAGGTGTAAAAATGTTTCACCAATAAAATTAAGTTTATCCCAGTAATAGTTTTTAGAGAGACTTTAGAGAGGTGGACTTTTACATCGATGATGCTTGGTGCTCAAACGCAGTCAAGATGGACTCTGTTTCCCAAATGTCAGACTGTTTATTGTGAAGATGAAACTTTCATGTTATCATCTGGTTGCTGCTGTTCATGCGCCCCAGATGCAAATTCAGAAAATGCACTGTGGAGTGTTTGAGGTGTACGTGTCCATCCGCCGTCAACCGCTTATCCTGTGTACAGAGTCGCAGGGGGCTGGATCCTATCCCAGCTGACACTGGGCGAAAGGCGGGGTAGCGTGCACACTGGACAAGCCGCCAGTCCATTGCAGGGCTAAATAACTGCATATGTTTTATTTTTGTGGTGTCCGAACAATAATGCTGCGATGATGTGTTGAGAAGAAATCCGCTTGACACTGTTCTTGATCATAAAAGTTTATTACATCAAGGAATTCAGCATCAATTACAAGCTCTGCAGCAGCTTGGAGAGTGACCCAGCCCGATGGCCACTCTGTCTCTCTGTACATCGAACACAGCTTATATAGGACATGTTTAGGTCTCTGCTAAATACCATATAAGGGCACGGTGCTGTAGGATAAGTGTAAACATCTGTTAGACACCATAGAAGGGTTCAGTCCCTTCATACACACTACTCTCTACTCCCCCTATCACTGGGTCAGAGGTCAAATTCCATAGGAGGGTTCACTCTTTGCACACCCATCAATCATTACTCCCCCTTAAGAGTTCACTGAGCCTCTCTCCAGCTGCAGAGTATTATTTTAAACTGTAATGGTCAAATGCACATATGTTATACACCACATTTTATTTCATATGTTACCATATTTTAATTTCGGCCTACACTTAATAGCCTATGTTGTGTGTGTAGCATGAAGGAACTACAAAATTAGTTTCATTATGCAGCCTTGTGCTGTATAATCACTAATAATCTACCTTGTACCTTGAACCTTAAATAGTCATAAATCAAACCGGCACAGCAGCACATCACACTGGAGAGTCAGCACTCGTTTCACTGCAGGTAAGAGTTGATTTTTAAAGTAAAACTTGTATATTAAATGTTTGATATCTCATAATTTTATAATAGGCCTATTTGAAGTTAAATCAATGTGCAGATTAATTTATGTTATATTAATTTATTCATGTTATGTGAGTTAAAAACAACTTCTTTTGTTTATTAGGCTCATTATGGATAAAGTAAAATTCCATCGTTATTTGGATATTGTGGATTTTTCCACATGTAAAAATGTTCCTGTATTTTATCCTGTTGTAAATTTTAATGAAAACGTTTGGATATTTTCAACTCTGTTTTGCACCCCAAGTCAAAACTATTGATATTAATGTGTAAAAGATGATGAAGTGAATAATTACACGTTTATATAATTCAATGAAGCCGCGTCGTTTGAAAAGCCCCGGATCTCAGAAGGGTTTTTAAAAATCAAACAACAAAAAGCCGAAAATGTAACTTTACTCGTGGAAGCGAGCGAGAGATTATTGTTAATATTTAATCTACTGCAAATTAGCAGAGAATAAAATGATCCAGCTGTAGCTCTGTGTCTGTCCTCTCTGCTCCACCTGAAGCAGCTGTGAGCTGCACTTTATCAGAGGAGCTGAAATGAACTTGTGTGGATTTGTGGTGAGGTCATCACCTGACAGGCAGAGGAAGCATTATACACATTTCATTTCAAAATCATGTTGTGTCTCCCCCTCTTTCCTAATGTAACGTTTTATTTCGCATTGCCTTCCTGGCTCAGGCGATTTCGAAGCTGGGTCATAGGAGGCCTGAGGAGGCGGTTTAAGTGACCAGTCAATCACTCACACACTCACCATCAGTCGCGGACAAAATGTATAGAAATGTTGAGGGAGAAAAAAAGTTGCTCGAGGCCGGTGCAGCTTCTTCTTCTTTGTGCTGCTGTTACTTCTAGTTGAAGGCAGCAGTGATGATGTCTGCAGCTGGGGTGGGTACATCTAATGTAGGACTGCTCTTAATTTCGCTACATTTTCCATTCATACCTTTTATAACTTAACCAGTCTGTAATCTGCATTTTGCTTCATTAACTGAAATGATCATCCAGGCTGTGTGCGCGCAGTTACGCAGTAAAGCGCTGGTCGGGCGCTTGCCACAGTCACAAAGCTGGGCAGATGCAAACATTTAGAAACTCAGGCAAATATCTTTTCAGTTTAAGGCTTTATTGTTTTACTAATACAACTGAAATCTAGTGAGCGCACATCACGGCACTGGTGGCGTCTTTAGTAGCAAATGAAGACTACACATTGTATAATCTATGTCAGACGATCACTGCATTGACTGAGATATATTAAAGGTGTCTTGTTGTTGAACAGAGCATCGCTTTGGACATTAGCCTGTTTCTTTTCTTTAATACACATCGGTTACAATTTGTTTTATCGCGATGTCCAACGGTGAAACGAATCTTTCACTCAGCAGCTACCTGTTATTTATTTTTGAGATGCACACAGAGAGAGAGAAAATATGGGTGGATAAAACAGTCCTGTTGGGTTTTATGCATGACGCACAGCTTCCTCTGTATGTAGGTTTACCTGCTTCAACAAGGAGCTGCTCTCGTGTTGCTGCCAAAATAATTCTTTGCGTTGTGAAGATTATTTAGATGCTTCAGGATAATCAGATTTTTTTGGCAGCCTGTGCTACTGCAAAACAAGCGGTTTGATTGGCTACATCTCTATAATAAAAGGCACAGGTAACAAAAGTTGGTGGGCAGCAAAAGTGATATTTTAAAGTGATCTTATGAACACCTTCATGGAGATTTAAAAAGGAAAATAATTGTAGAAATAGCTAAATTACAGATAATCAGCTTCTTCACTGCATTTGCAGGAATATTTTAATGGGATACTTAAAAAAATACGTCGGGGCTGGGATCCTGCACAACAAAACATGCAAGAATTAAATCTCCACACTAGCATGGATAGTAGTCGTGCAACGGGTTGCAGAATCCGTGGTATGGATCCCTTCCATACAATGCGGCAGGCAAAGTTCATGATGATTTATCCTGTTTGACCTCTCAAAATATCCTTTATTCTGGAAATATCACAGAACCCAGTTAGATTCTGAATGTGCAGAACTTTGAACATGAGCAGAAAACCTGCTGAAACACAGGAGCTATTAAAGTCCAGGAGTTTATAACTGAATTAAATTGATTTAATTAATTATTGATGAGGTAAAAAGGTGCCACATGCACATTTAAAGAGGTTACCTCAATCAGTCACGTCTGCATGTGTGTTGATTCAGCAGTGATGATATTAAAAGTTGATCTACAGGAAAAACATATCTGAAAGCAACCCAGAATGAGAGCTGCTCTGCATTATATTCTGTTACAGTTTTAGTTTTTAAATTGTTTTATTACACCTTTATTAAATCATTAAATCAGAAAAACTCTTTTTCCAAGTGTGTCCTGGCCAAGGCAGGCAGTAGTACAATTGCACATTTAAGATGGAAATAAATAATCAGTTACAAGGTCATAAAACATCAAAATGTTCTTAATTATTCGCCACAATTCAGCAACACCTGAATTTTGTGTGTCCCTTTACATAAATAATCTCCACAATAAATTGATGCAGAAAAGGCAGAAATTGGTGCAGAAAAACACCAGAATGCAGGTAAGTGTTTAACACTCACAATTTTCTGGACGAGTACCACCAGATGCTTTAACATGTGACGGCTGTTCCTGAGGTTGAAGCTTTTTCTGCTGAATGAAAACTTTGTCACATAACTATGAATTAATTCAGAATGGCTTTTTCAAATGTTGAAATTTTATTGGCACATATAATGTAATTAATTCAGTTCTGTTCAGGCAATCAGCAGGTTTTAGGGGCAGTGCAAAATATTATTTTCCGTTGTGTTACTTCTGCACGGCACAGACCCAGAATAATGCACATGTATTTATCTGCAACGTTGTTCTTCCATTCCATATTTATATATTTCTAAATTTATTTATGTTGACTGTATGTTTGTCTACGTGCAGCACCTTATCACCACAGCAAATTCCTCGTATGTGTAAAACACTACTTGGCAATAAAGCTCCTTCTGATTCTGATTCTGAAATACAGGTTTCATTTGGTTGAGAGTTAAATGTGAGGTAATGCACACTCTTGATGCCACTTTTTATAATTGTAAACCGGATTAAGACTTTCAGTCCTCCTTTAGCCACTCGCACTCCTCTTTCAGTTTTCCTCTGTGCTGCTTTTGTTTCTCCTTCCTCCAACTCGCAGGTGCGTCTGACTTATGACATATTTGCCAACTTCCTTTTTGAAGTTTAAAAGAGCTATTCTGTTTTCTTTAATAATATAATACTAATCAACTTTATTTATACAGCACTTTTCTTAACAAGGTTACAAAGTGCTTTACAGAAACAAAATAAAAAACAGGGATCATAAAACACCAGGGATAAAATAAAGTAAAAATTTAAAATAGAATATATAAGTATATAAATAAATAAAGTAAATATTATCAATATCAATTTTATTTATATAGCACACTTAAAACAACCAAGGTTGGCCAAGGTGCTTCACAGGTTAAATACAACAAGACACTACTCACACAGTAAAAGTACAGCAATAAAACATTATAATATACAGTATACGATATATAGTGATAATAAATTGCCAGGAATAATAACAGACTTAACTAGAAATGCCAAAGAAAAGAGATGTGTTTTCAACAGTGATTTAACGTTCGAGAGTTGGGGCCGTTCTGATATTTCTGATATGGACTGGCAGGTTGTTCCACAGGTTAGGGGCAGCTACACTAAAGGCTCTGGTTTTAAGTCTGCTTCTGGGTACATCCAGGAGGAGGAGACTGGTGGATCTCTGCTGCAGTATGAACGTGAAGAAGCTCCGTTAAGTACAATGGAGCCAATCCATTAAGGCATTTAAAAGTTAAAAGTAAGATTTTAAAATCAATCCTGTAATGAACAGGAAGCCAGTGGAGGGAGCGCAACACAGGTGTGATGTGGTCCCTCTTCTTCTTTCCTGTCAGGAGGCGGGCAGCAGCATTTTGGACTAACTGCAGGCGCTGAATCGATGACTTGTCTAAGCCCACATATAAGGAGATGCCTTAGTCAAGGCGGGAAGTTATGAAGGCATTTGTCACCCTCTCCAAATCTTTAGGAGGGAGATAGGTCTTTACCTTGGCTGTAGTTCTCAACTGGCAGTGGCGGATATCTGTTTATCAAATTTAAACGCACTATCCAATACAACACCAAGACTCCTCACAGTTGAGCGGCTGTTTGAAGTTAAAGGGCCGAGAGAATCTACATCAAGCAGTTCAGGGTGTCCAAACACTATCATCTCTGTCTTGTCTCCGTTTAGGTTGAGGAAATTTAGGTTCATCCACGTTTTGATATCCTTCATACAGTCAAGCAGGGGCTGCAGTGAGCCCTTTGTTTTTACATTCAGGGGCAAACAAATTTGAATATCGTCTGCAAAACAGTAGAAAGAGACCTCATACCTCTCAAAGATGGAGGCCAGGGGCAGCATATGCAAAGAAAATAAGATGGGGCCTAAGACAGAACCTTGAGGGACACCGCAGGTAAATGGGGCTGTCTCAGAGGTGGACAGAGAAGCTCCTATCGGTTAGATAGGATTGAAACCACCTAAGTGCAGTACCTTTGATTCCCACACAAAACAGTGTCAAAGGCAGCAGTGAGGTCTAACAGCACTATGACTGCAGAGACTGCTGAGTCAACAGTTAAAATCAAGTCATTAAAAACTCTTAAAAGTGCCATTTCAGTGCTGTGACGGGGTTTGAAGCCGGACTGGAACTTTTCATAAACATTATTATTAATTAAAAATGTTTGCAGCTAGGTAAAATCTAATTTCTCCAGGACTTTAGTTAAGAAAGACAGTTTAGAGATGGGCCTGAAGTTAGAGAGAACAGAGAGGTTGAGATTTTCCTTTTTTAGCAGGGGCTGTACAACAGCTGTTTAAAGGCGGACAGAACATGACCAAACAGGTATTTATCAATGACAAAATACATGGTCCAACGGTATCAAAGACTTCTCTAATCAAACGAGAGGGAATGCTGTCTGAGGGACAATTTGTGGGCCGCAGATGATGGACCACCTCAGATAGGGAGGAGATTGATATGGACTCAAACTGATCTAGGACCGCAAGGCACAGGAGGAGCAGAGGGATCATGGTCACAGGATGTGGTTACAGATGATCGAAGAGCAAAAATCTTCTCAACAAAAATCCCTAAGACAGGGAAGTGATCCGAAATACATACGTTACAGATTTCATTTACATAAACACACAAACCATGAGACAGCAGGTCTAATGTGGATCAGCGTCGGAGGAACAGCACCCGAACCAGACGCTGTCACCAAGGCAGCAGAGGCTTGACCCATCGACAGATGCTGTGAAGCCAAGTCGGCAAGAAGGAAACCGCACCGCAGAGGAGACGAGGATGAGGCACATCCGAGGACCTCAGGTAAGCCTTGAGGCGAACAAGAACTCCGGCACGCTTTCCACGTCTCCTGTGGCGCTTTTTCCGGGGAAGACCACACGGGACACAGCGCATGTAGTCTGGGATGTTGGACAACCATGGGGGGAGGCTTCCAGCATGTTCTCCCAAACCATCTCTAGACAGCCCCAAAGCCTCACGGGACGCTCGGATGTCAAACAAAGTTTTGCGATCATAAACGAGAAGGCTAGTTACATCCAGGCAGCAAAAACACAGAACTAAAGCAGCAGCAAACAAAAGGCAGACGCAGCGTGATGTGCCTCTGCTATAGTGTAAATATGTGTGTGTTGCAGGTAAATGATGGTGTGTGTGTTAGTTCCTCTCCTCTTGACTGTCCTCCTGACTGAGACGTCTGCTTCACTGTCAGCTTCAGGTAAGAAAAACAGTAAGATGGAGATTCCTGTCAGTCACATTAAAATAATAATAACATTTCTCGTTTCCACAGTGGGTTTGTACTGAATAAATATGTAATTCAAATGGCTTTTTCAAACTTAATAATTAAATAACGTGTCAGCAGGGACGGAGCAGGTCTTTTCATGCCCACCTCGGTGGCTCCTGTTTGGGCAGAGATGCTTCGCTTTCTACCCTGTGTGGAGCTCCTGGAGCGATGCCGATGTAAACTGAAGATACAACACATTTAAATTTATACAATAGAAGATTCAGTATTACATGGCTTCAGTGTGGTTTAATGTGTGTGTGTGTGTGTGTGTGTGTGTGTGTGTGTGTGTGTGTGTGTGTGTGTGTTAGTTATTGTGCTTTCAGGCAGCTGGTAAACTGGCGTCGCTTCACACACCAGAGGAGAGACAGTTTGTCCGTCTGCTACCAAACACACACACAACTGTGTGGCTGGGTGGATACCAGAAACAGCAGGTATGGTGTCTGTGTCAGCGTGCTGTGCTCTTGTTCTTATATCAAGACTTTATTTAAACAAACATTACATCTCTCCAGTGGAGGAGAAGGTATTCAGATCCTTCAGTACTGTACTAATACCACACTGTAAAAACACTTTAAGTAGCCTAAGTAAAGTATTAAAAATAAAAGTACTAAAATGTCTCCTGTCACTGTTACACTATAATATATTCTATCACCAGGTTATTATTCCTCATGCATTAATGTAAAGCAGGAGTTTGTAGTTGTTGAGGTGGAACTCATTGGAGCTATTTTGTATCTGACTGCGACTAATGATTATTTTCATTATGGATTAATCTGCTGATTATTTTCTACATTATTGATTTATGTTTGTTATTTGGTTTGTTAACATTTTAATAATAGTGAGAAATACTATCACAGTTACCCACAGCCCAAGGTGACAGTGTCTCTTTGTTTTGCTCATCTGAAGAACAGCTCCTGGTTTTGGAGCGACAACTCCTCCTTCAGGATGAGTGATTGGACCAATCAGAGGCAGAGAAAGACCAACAAGGGCGGGGCTTGCCTGGAAATGGCACCAAAAAGTAAAAGAAAAAAACAAGGAATGAATGGATCAATGTAGTTTATAAATGGATTATTCCTTTTTAAATGAATAAATAATGTATTGTAATTTGTTGTTTAAATTACATAATACTTCATTATTATTCTTTAAAAATGTTAAAACTTAAACTTGATACTTTTGTGTGTTTTCTTTTCAGGTGGAAAGCTGCACAGCGCCCCCTGTAGAGAGCTCAGGTTCTACATCTGCTCCACCACAGCCAGGTAGGCTAAAGTTTAAAAACAATGTTGGAAGTGTTCAGGTTATTTACTTTAAGTGACACAAAATCTGTTGAGTATCAGAGTCAGAATCAGCTGCCGAGTAGGGTTACACATACAAGGAATGTGCTTCCGGTATTTTGGTGCATAACAACAAACAGTAAGTAGAAAGTAGAAAGAAAGATTAAGCAGGTACTGCAATTCAAGAATCATATAAAAATATAAAACTGACAATAAGATTTTAAAAACATTATAAAATGAATAAAGAATATGTACAATATGTTATTTAGAATTACTTTATTGATCCCTTGATTTTTGTCACAATTGCACACTTGGCAAGGCATAAGGAATAGAAATAGATAAAGAGTATATAAATGCAGTCCCCTCCAAAAGTATTGGAACAGTAAGGCAAATGCCTTTGTTTTTGTTGTTCACTGAAGACATTTGGGTTTAAGATCAAAAGATGAGTATGAGACAAGAGTTCAGAATTTCAGCTCTCATTTCCTGATATTCACATCTAGATGTATTAAACAACTCAGGACATAGTATAAATATAAAATATAAAGAAAATATAAAGGAGTGTGGGTATGTACAATATTTACATTATTAAGAATTATTATGGTGAACCAAAAAGGACTAGTGAAGAAATAGCAGCAGACAATATTACACAATATTTATTAAACAGATAATATTGCACAAACGTAGATAATAGTCCAGTTTAAAAACTTACTAATGGCCCGTGTGTCAGACACTTAGAGGGAGGAGTTATAAAGCTTGATGGCCACAGGCAGGAATGACTTCCTGTGGCACTCTGTGGTGCATTTTGGGGGAATGAGTCTTGCACTGAAAGTGCTCCTGTGTGGGAGACACTGTCCAAGATGACATGTAGCTTGGACAGCATCCTCCTCTCTAACACCACTGACAGAGAGTGCAGCTCCACCCCCACAACAACACTGGCCTTATGGATCGGTTTGTTGAGTCTGTTAGCGTCCGCAACCCTCAACTTGCTGTCCCAGCATGCAAACAGCAAACAGGATAGCACTGGCCACCACAGATAAAACATCCTCAGCATCGTCCTGCAGATGTTGAAGGACCTCAGCCTCCTCAGAAAATAGAGACGACTCTTGCGCAGTTCCTGTAGAGGGCTTGAGTGTTCTTGGCCCAGTCCGGTTTATTGTCCATGTGCACTCCCCGGTACTTGTAATCCTCCACACTGACTCCCTGGATGGAAACAGGGGTCACTGGTGCCTTTGCTCTCCTTAGATCCACAACCAGCTCCTTAGTCTTTGTCACATTGAGCTGCAGATGGTTCAGTCTTGAGTCCCCACCGCAGCTCTGTACTCAGCCTCGTCACCGTGCTGATCCATCCAACCACCGCAGAGTCATCAGAAAACCTCTGAAGATGGCAGCATCAGGGCTTGAAGCCTTATTAGAGTGGAGTCTCCTCAGCTGTCTTCTCACCTGGTCAGCAGTGAGGCACACAGAGGTCACAGGTGGGGGAGAGGAGGAGTCGTCAGACAGGAGAGAGCTGTTAACCTGAGAGCCAGAGGAGGAGGAGGGGAATAGTGGGGTTGGAGGTGACACAGCAGATGAGTTAGTGGGCGGGAGCGAAAGAGTCAAATCTGTTAAAGAACAGATTAAATTCGTTGGCCCCGTCCAAGCTGCCTTCAACTCCTGCTGCCAGTCTGTCTGAAGCCAGTGATGTTCCTCATGCCGCTCCAGACCTCCCTCATGTTCCTGCAGCCTGTTGCACCAGCGATACGCAAGTTCTACCTTAAGTTAGGGTCCAGGTGTAAAGTCCACACTAAAACATACATTGAAACTAGTTAGTTTGAGACTTAAGTTGTGTCAATGTTTGGTTGCACCACCGAGACGTAAGGTTCATGTTACCTACTCTGGCGTAAAGTCTATACCCATCTAAACAGTGTCGCAGAAAATCACGTTTACACATCCCATGGCCAATCAGAGTTTATTAGGGTTTTGTCATCTGTTTGTCTCTCTCTCTTTGAACATTTTGCAATACTGAAGAGGCTAACGGCTAAAAATAGCAACAAAACACCTACAAAAAAAACAATTATGATTAGGTGATAATCTACAGCTAGTCCAACAGTGACATCGAGTGGTAAAACCATTAACTACAACATAGACGTAATTTACGTAACGAACGGTAAAGTATAAGATGAAATTGTAACATTAAAACTTATCTACAGGTAGGAGCCATTGTCCCCCTCATATTTCAAAATCTAGGTTTTGTCCACCCTACTTTTCTCCAGCGATTTCTGAGTTGGCTAGGCGAGAAGGTTTACTGTGAGTGACTACTCAATCAATCACACACTCCGCATCAGACATAGGCTAATTAAATGGTTGAAACGCAGAAAACATTGTGTAGGCCAGAAACATCCGACACATCGCAAAGGAGGTGCTGAAAACTTAAGGTAGAGGAAATAAGAGTTTGCTGGAGGCAGGTTCAGCTAAGTGCCTCAATATTACAGACTTTTTTTCTGTGGTACTGTTATTACAGCCTACCTGAAGACAGCAGGCAGCAGGGTGTGTAGTAACTTGTTACAAGTAACGCAAATTCGCAAAATAAATAAATAAATAAAAATAAGTAATGGCCTTTTCACGTTCATTTATTATTTATATTTTTACTCTTTAATCCAGTATTTTCTTTGGGCCAGTAATCTACTCTTAATTTTGCTACATTTTCAATTCATTCCTTCATAACTTAACCAGTCTGTGATTTGCATTTTCCTTCGTTAACCGAAATGGGCTGTCATCCAGGCTGTGTAAGCTATGTTACGCAGAAGATCCCAGTCACCACCTCTTAAAAACGATGCTCTATGACAACCACTCGACTATTTTATGGAGGATTTTACACCTATTAAGGATTAGGTGTAAGATTTAAGTTGTAACTTATGTCTACGTTGGACATATTTCAGCTGGTGCAACCCTTAAAACGTAAGTAGCACGTAAACTCCGACTTAAGTTAGAAATTGCGTTCAAACTAGGATAAGTTTGAACTTACACATAGTTGGTGCAACCCAGAGCTCCTGTACTTCTCCTCCTCCCTGATCTTCACCTTCAGGTCCCCCTGAATGGCCCTCACCTCCTCCCTATTCCACTCCTTTTTGCATTCAGGATGTCCTTGATGTCCTTTGTTACCCATGTTTTATTGTTTGGGTAACAATGGAAAGTTTTTGCTGAGACAGTGCAGTCCACACAGAAGTTTATGTAGTCTGTGATACACTCAGTAAGCCCATCTACATATGTCCTCTCCATGTGGCTCACAGAGTGCATCCCAGTCTGTCACCTCAAAACATCCCTGTAGTGTCTCATAGGCCTCCTGACCATCTCCTCACTGTCCTTGTGGTCGCAGGCTGCCTTTTCACCAGAAGCACATAGCAGGGATTGATGTGAACCAGGTTGTGGTCTGACCTGCCCAGGGGGAGGAGGGGGAAGAGCTGTATGCATCCTTAATATTAGCATACAGCAGTTCCAGGGTCCTCTCCTCTCTAGTATGACAGTTCACATACTGGGTGAAGTTGGTTAGTGTGGTGGTCATGGTGACTTGGTTGAAGTCACCCAAGATCACTAAGAGGGCACTTGGGAGTGGATGACATTACAGGCTGACGTCGGGTCGGCAGAGGGTTGAATGTAAACCGCTACAGCGATGGCACGTGAAATTTCCACTCTAAAGCAGCTTCCTGTTAAAGCTTTAAACTGCAAATGTATAAGAATAAAGTAAAAGGTCCTAATGTGTGATGATCGACCACGTGTGTCTGAATATGTTAGTTTGTCATTGTGTGTAAAGCCAAATATTAAGTGGTTGTTTGTAATCTCCTCTGTTTATCTCCAGCTCCTCTTCTGAAGTCCTCCCCAGCGACAGGAAACCAGGTAACAGTTTACTGATTGTTGTTGCATCCCAGTACGTATGGCAAAGAAATTACTGTTGGACCATGTCTGACTTTGGAAATACAAGTTTGACAAAACAATCACAACTCAAAGTCTAATTACTACCTTTTTCCAGATCTTTCCCACTAGCAACTTTTACTAATCACTCGCTGCAGAGTAAAAACCGGAAACACTTCTTTTGGTGTGTTCACATCAGAGACTGCGTGGTTCACATACAATGCGAAACAAAATTTCGCTTCACATTAATTGTGCAAGTTTGGCCGCTGAAATATTTGATCCTAATCTGGTAATAGGGTGGGATGCACCAAAAATAAACATTTAGTTGTGGTTTAATTACAATGAACGGATCAAAATCATGGCAAAATAACTACTCGATGATGCAGATTTGCAGGTTGAGAAGCGAGAGTGAAGATAAATCCACTTTTAATCCCCAAAATTAAAATATAAAAGTTAATTCAATAAAAGAAAATGAACTCTGATCTCCTCCTGCTGGGAAACGGCTCCGTCTAGAGCAGAACCGTCTGCAACTCCTATTGTTCATTTTTCCAGAAGCTCCGGAGCTGCCCCTGGCTCTCTCCTCCACAACTCCCCGTCACTCAGTAGCTCTCAGTCGGCAAGCAGAGGCTCTCTCCCTCCGCTCCACCCAAATCTCTCCAACACAACACTTTGTAAAGGCCCGTGATACATGCAAAAACCTAAAACTTCAAGAATGACATCATGTCTTTAAAGAATGAAGCACCTGCTTTTGTAACAAAATGCAGCAACAACCAGTGAACCTGTTGGTCACATAGGAATATGATTTTGATTTATTTCCCTCTGTCTCTCAGGCTTAGTCCCCAGTGTGAGTCTGTTTGATGTTGTTTGGGGCAACAGCGACTCGTTGGCGGAGGAGATTCTCCGCTCGTCCTCCTTCCTCAGGGAGCTCCGGTCCGGTCAGCTGACCCAGCGCTGCTACAACAACTTCATCCAGCAGGAGGCGCTCTATCTGCACAGAGTCAGCAGCACACTGGAGGTCAGAGGTTTTTGATTTTGCCTGGTTTGCAGGGCCGGCCCTAACAATGTTGGAGCCCAAGCAAGATTTTAAAGTGGTATTGAAGACTTCATTTCCTGCATTCTGGTGATAATGTATGCACCAATTTCTGCCTTTTCGCCCCAATTTATATTGGATAAGTCTTAATATATGGAAATTCAGGCAGCAAGTGACAAAATATGAAAAATTAACATGATATAATGCAGTAAGGCTTTCAGGCATTCTGTAGCTATTGCTTTTAAATGTTTTATGCTGTTGATCAACTATTCTAATATAATAAAATGCTTGCTGAGTCAGCACAAATGCAGGCGTGATTTAGTCTTCCCTCCTGTTTTATGTCTTTTGTTTGGGGAAGTAACTTCTTTAAATGTGCATGTGGCACCTTTTCATTTTGCTGGTTTGTCTGTTTTTCTTTCTGTCTTTCTACCTGTTCATCTCATAGCCTTTTTTTCTTTACTAAACTATACTCTAATCCACTGATGACCGTCCACTCTCTCATTAGTCTGTGATTTTAAGCTCTTTCCAGCTCTTCAGCCTCTGTTAGTGGAGTCTGTATGTTTCCAAGATTTTCCTACAACATCTCTAAACTTTGCACTTCAACTGACTTTTCACTTTGTATCTAGGGTCTTGTAACACTCCTACTCTTGGTCTCAAGGTTTTCAAACCTTCAAGTAAGAAACCACACTTATTAAATGCACGTTTTATAATAATAACTTTATTTATATACCACTTATCAAACAAAAGTACAAAGCACTACACAAAAAGTAACGTAAAAAGGGCACGTAACATAAGATACAAAATACAATAAAAGTAGAAATAGAAATCACAAATGGGTAAAACAGATTAACTATAAAAATAAGGCTAGAATAAATAGCAACTAAAATAAAACCTAAAGATAAACAGGCAGCTCAGTTAAAATCAGGATGTGCCCTCCGATAATGCTTAATGCTTTCTGTTGTGTTGGAGTTCAGTTGAAGAAAGTTATTTGACATCCAGTCTTTTATATCTGCCAGAAATGCCTGGCAGATATAAAAGACTGGAGGGAATTCAGCATATTCAGGTCAGTGGGCTTCAAGAGAATATATAAGTGTCGTCAGCATAACAGTGGAAAGAAATACCATATCTGCGAATCACTTCAACCAGGGGGAGCATATACTGTATATGGAGAATAAACTGTACCAAGAATTGACCCTTGAGGCCCAACGTAACACTTCCTATTTGACAAGTATGAAGTAAACCAGCTCAGAACAGTTCCTGCAGCCCATTCTCACTCCCCAACCTGTCACATATGGATGCATGGTCAAGACTCATCAGTGTTTGTTCGTGATGCACTCAGGATCCCTTTAGTGTCATAGTTCAACGCAGTGAGGGAATATATATAAAATATAATATTTAACACAAAAGACTGAGTAAGGAGGTGCTACATACATGCAGCTTTTCTACAATCACATTCACAGCTGCTAATATGTAATTTTGCTAGGGCTGTTTTCCAGTTTTCCCAAGTGGGCTATAAGGTCCAGCATTGAGTAAGATAGTGAATTGAAGGAATTGATAAAGTCATTTGAGGGCGCCCCATCAGGAAGCAAATTATCAAAAGAGTTCAAAAGGGTACAGAATTTATTTGCTCTCTGTTTATTTAAGAAGCAGGTATATTTCTTATTCACAGTTAAAATTAATAATTTCTTGGACTGATATTGACATTTCCTTAATCTCCACAGATTGTATTTTTACACCAAGAAAGACTAAGAACCAGGTCTAAAGTGTGGCTATGACACGTTGTTGGAAGTTAAAAGAATTTGTGATGATGTCATTGGATGAATCGTCAATGTGCATATTAAAATCGCCACAATTCAGAATTCTATCATGTCAGGATTGTGTGTGGTTGATAGGTTGGTGGACTCAAATGCAGGACACTGAGCTGAGCAGGTACAGTTCAAGAGGTTTATTTAAACAAATTACACACTTACAGGCAGAGTGGCTGAGCTGAGGCTTTCCAACATAAACAGAGTCCAAATAAAACAAGGTAATCCAACGGAAATCCAAAATCCACAGAAACAAGCAGGCTGAATACATCCACATGATATCAGACAGAGCATTACAAGCTACACACTACATGAGACAGAGCGTCTACATGCTAAAATGACCAGACAAGGACTGAAGACACACAGCAAACATGTAACACCGGGGACTAACGAGCAGGCAGGCAGAGAGACAGCAGGGGAAAATATACAGTGGGTACAGAAAGTATTCAGACCCCTTTAAATTTTTCACTCTTTGTTTCATTGCAGCCATTTTCCAAAAATCAAAAAAGTTCATTTTATTTCTCAGTAATGTACACTCAGCACCCCATCTTGACAGAAAAAAACAGAAATGTAGAAATTTTTGCAAATTTATTAAAAAGAAAAACTGAAATATCACATGGTCATAAGTATTCAGACCCTTTGCCGTGACACTCATATTTAACTCAGGTGCTGTCTATTTCTTCTGATCATCCTTCAGATGGTTCTACACCTTCATTTGAGTCCAGCTGTGTTTGATTATACTGATTGGACTTGATTAGGAAAGCCACACACCTGTCTATATAAGACCTTACAGCTCACAGTGCATGTCAGAGCAAATGAGAATCATGAGGTCAAAGGAACTGCCTGAAGAGCTCAGAGACAGAATTGTGGCAAGGCACAGATCTGGCCAAGGTTACAAAAAAATTTCTGCTGCACTTAAGGTTCCTAAGAGCACCGTGGCCTCCATAATCCTCAAATGGAAGACGTTTGGGACGACCAGAACCCTTCCTAGAGCTGGCCGTCCGGCCAAACTGAGCTATCGGGGAGAAGAGCCTTGGTGAGAGAGGTAAAGAAGAACCCAAAGGTCACTGTGGCTGAGCTCCAGAGATGCAGTCGGGAGATGGGAGAAAGTTGTAGTAAGTCAACCATCACTGCAGCAATCCACCAGTCGGGGCTTTATGGCAGAGTGGCCCGACGGAAGCCTCTCCTCAGTGCAAGACACATGAAAGCCCGCATGGAGTTTGCTAAAAAACACCTGAAGGTCTCCAAGATGGTGATAAATAAGATCCTCTGGTCTGATGAGACCAAGATAGAACTTTTTGGCCTTAATTCTAAGCGGTATGTGTGGAGAAAACCAGGCACTGCTCATCACCTGTCCAATACAGTCTCAACAGTGAAGCATGGTGGTGGCAGCATCATGCTGTGGGGGTGTTTTCACCTGCAGGGACAGGACGACTGGTTGCAATCGAGGGAAAGATGAATGCAGCCAAGTACAGGGATATCCTGGACGAAAACCTTTTCCAGAGTGCTCTGGACCTCAGACTGGGCCGAAGGTTTGCCTTCCAACAAGACAATGACCCTAAGCGCACCGCTAAAATAACGAAGGAGGGGCTTCACAACAACTCCGTGGCTGTTCTTGAATGGCCCAGCCAGAGCCCTGACTTAAACCCAATTGAGCATCTCTGGAGAGACCTGAAAATGGCTGTCCACCAACGTTTACCATCCAACCTGACAGAACTGGAGAGGATCTGCAAGGAGGAATGGCAGAGGATACCCAAATCCAGATGTGAAAAACTTGTTGCATCTTTCCGAAAACGACTCATGGCTGTATTAGATCAAAAGGCTGCTTCTACTAAATACTGAGCAAAGGGTCTGAATACTTATGACCATGTGATATTTCAGTTTTTCTTTTTTAATAAATTTGCAAAAATTTCTACATTTCTGTTTTTTTCTGTCAAGATGGGTGCTGAGTGTACATTACTGAGAAATAAAATGAACTTTTTAGATTTTTGGAAAATGGCTGCAATGAAACAATTAATGAAAATTTAAAGGGGTTTGAATACTTTCCGTACCCACTGTAGATGTAACAGATCAGAATAATAAACAAATTAATTCAGACACAAGCAGACGGATCACAAAAAACTACAACCAACAGGGAAAACAGACTGAAGCTAGGATTAAACACAACGCCAAAATAATGCAAAACACAGAACTAGGACAAAATACAAAGACATTAACTAAGACACAGAACTAAGAACTGAGGCAAAGAAAAACAAAAAAAGACAAAGCCAGGAGCATTCTCAGGCGGGTGCCCTGAGGGCAGAGCAGGGGGGTCATAAAGTTCACAGCGACGACAAAACAGACAGAGCAGGGTTAGGGAACAGGGAACAGGGCAGGTAAGGCGCTCTGCCTAAGACACAGGGCAGGGCAGAGGGGCAGAACAGTTCAGGAGGCCGACCCGGATGTCGACTGAAAAGGCTGGGCAGATTAGGGTAGCAAAACAGTTCAGGAGGTCGTCAAGACCCGCCCTACTCTGCTTCTGATTGGCTAGTAGTCTTTCACTATAGGTACTGCTCACGAGGATGCTTCACTCGGTAGCTTAAAACGAAGCGTTCAACAGACATGAGGAAAAGAGGAGCTGCAGCAATGTGCAGTTTGACAGAAAAAGAAAATTAAACCATGTAAACCTGTTCTGGTACGACCCCTAAATAAGATTAGGAACCTCAAAATGGTGAACTGGTGTGTCAGGGTTTTGATGTAAGCGTCATGTTTTTGTTCCTGCAGACCCTGATGTGTAGTTTACAGGAAGCAGATGAGAACACGAGATCACTGCTGCTGGACACACTCAAACACTACAGAAGCAGAAACCAGGTGAGACAGACAGGGCATTTTTGGTCACTAGTAAGAAGAATTACAGCCAATCATTTTAAAAATGCCCATGTAAGCACCTTGATCAAAATAAATCAGATGAATGTGAAAAAATTGTAATTTAGTTTTTCATTGTCTCCTCCTCCAGAGCCTCTTCATTTCACCTCCCCCACAGTGGCTCCACTTCGCCCTGCAGTCTTTCCACTATGTGGTTTTGGAGCAGCCGTCTATTGGCTGGTGGCCCTGTCGGCCCGGGCCTGCCTCCAGGACTTCCTGGCCAGGGAGCAGCTCTTCTCTGAGCTCAAGCCTGGTTCCACGCTGGTGTCTGGGTCTGAGGTTAAGGCTGGCAGCATCTACCAGCAGTGGAGTGAAGAGAGTCTCAAGGAGGTTGCCTGGATGCGCAAGTACATTAACTAGTATAACATACTGTGTTTCTACATGCAGGTGCAATGCAGGTGTGAATGCCTAGGCTAAATGAACAGGCGTAGTCTGTAATAATGCTTTGATTTGATGTGTTCTTATGAGCTGTATAACAAGCCTAAATTCAGCCTTATTTTTTCAGCTGGGCTGTGTGTCGGCGTTTCCACATATTAAAGCCTTGTGCACAGAATAAGTGATCGTTTCAACTCAATTTAAAGAACTTCAAACATTACATTTATTATTTAACACACTTAAAAGTATTGCAAACATTGTTCTACATTAACTTGATAAAGCAATGAAACGTAAAATCCATTCATGCATTCTACTAACAAGGTCTCGCTAACAAGGACAGTTACATGAGAGAAAGAATTAGAGCTGGAAGGTCAGGGAACACTTGTGGTCAGCTAATGACTAAAAGCTAGACCTGTCTTGCCTTTCCCAGTTATCAATTAAGCCCCATAAGAATATTCTTTCACAGTCCTCGGTTTGTTAGAGCTCTACGCTACCGACACTAAGGCTGTCGGTTTGAATCCCACTGAGGTCAAATAGAGTAAAAATCTCACGTGATTCTCAAGTTTTGAATCTGACCATATCAGGAAAATGAAACGATACATACATGTTTATTAAGCAGATGTTTCAGCGATGATTAATTTAGAACAATGAGCATAGTGATAGTAGAAGGTATTAAAACAAGAGAGAAGACAATCTTATCCAAAGTTATGCATGTACTTTGAATTAAACATAATGTATTTTGAATGTGAAACATGTCTTTCAACATGTTTTTGTTGTACTCAGACAATGTCAGATGTACTTACAGTTGTTAAGAAAGGTTTTTATTGATGATGTGTACTAAAAGTCGTGAACTATTACCACATATGGCACTTGTGTGAATAGTACCGTAGCAACAGAAAAAACTGTAAAACAAGTAAATTGAAAAGATACCATTATGTTGTGTTTTGGTGATTAAAACTTGTGTTCTTATGAGATTTCACGAGAAACTTATATTTTAAATCAACGGTTGTTTAATGAGAGATGTTTACAATCCCATTGAATGCACAACAGCAAGCTTTGAATGAAACACTGGCTGTGTTACAAGTGTGATGGGTTTGGAGTTTTGTACTAACAGTGGTAAAATATTACCACATACTTGCGTAAATAGTACCATTGCGACAGAAAAACAACTGTAGTACTATGAAGCCTGTGGGACGGTTTTATGGAGGCTACGGCAAAGAGACACTACTGAACAGGGGGATGTAGGAGCCACGTTGGGGCTAAAATTAAGAGCGTGTTTGTGTCTGCTGCACATAGTTTTACTTTTCTTGTGTAAAAACAAGCTGTTTTCTTCTTTGTTGACTATTTTTAACCAGGACCAGTTACTTCCTGGAATCTCCGCTGGTCACCTGGCAACTGCTCAGAGGCCCATAACCCCTGTGAAATAGCAAATTGTTGTTTTTAGACTTCGTTTTTTGTACAGATAGAAAAAGTGAGATATAATGTATTAAATAATTAGCTTTAGATGTGCTGGTAGGTGGATTTTGTTTCCTTTGGATAGAGTCAGACTAGCTGTTACTCCCTGTTTTCAGGCTTTATGCTAAGCTAAGCTAAGCTAAACTAAGCTAACCAGCTGCCGGCTACTGCTCTATTTACATATAGGAAAATATCATCAGTCTTGTCATCTAAATCGGTGCCAGAAAGTTAGCGATAGTATTTTGTTCAACAGCAAAAGAGTCAGGTAAAGAAGATTAGGTACTTGATTTATGTTGTCCTAATTTATCCTTTACACTGTGTGTGTGTGTGTGTGTGTGTGTGTTACAGGTACAGAAAGGTGATAGGGGAATACCAGGATCAGATGGACGTGTTCAAAGCCATAAACATCTTCAGGCAGCACATGATGAACCAGAAGAGTTTCTACAAGGCTGTGTAAGAACATATCAGTCATTCTATCTGAGGATGTATCTGTCTATTGATCAGTGTGGGTCTTTAATATTTGTGTGTTTCTGCTGCAGAACCTGTGATGTAGAGGATAATGAATGATGAAGAGGAGGAGAGCAGGGGGGGTTGCTGATGAACCTGAGTCACCAAATCTTACATTATATTTCCTTATTTATTTTTTAAATTCAGCTTATAGTGTATGAGATAACTGTACCAGAAAAAAACATCTAACTTAGAAATACAATTGTAAACAGTAGCAGTGGTGGTAGTGGAAGTACCAGCTGTAGCAATATTACTACATTAGTAGTAGTACATATCAAGATATTTAGATTGCTTTGTTCCCATCAATCCTCACCAAATAGCCTCTTCTTTACAAGATACACTCAATCTGTCTTTATTAACAGTTTATGTACTACCATCCTTCAAAGCAGCAGGCACTCTTGATCCAGGTTTTAGCTAACTACAGACCTACATCTAACCGCCAAACAGTTCTAACTTTCTACATAGTTTATTTGAAGATTTTCAGTCAGGATTTAGAGTTCATCATAGCACAGAGACAGCACTGGTTAAAATGACCTTCTAATTACATCAAACAAAGGACTTATTCTCTGTACTTATAATGTGCATTGATTACGATGTTGACTACCCGATGTTGACTACACAGTGTATTCTATCCTGGGAAGGATGAGCAGGCAGCATTAACGGTGTGGTCTGTTGAAATGTAACTGGAGAGATGGTTACTGAGTGAATATTAACATTCCTAAATACGATCCATAACATTACTGTTAACTGGGGATTAATTTCAGTATGGCTAATGTACCCTTTCACCCTTCCCCAAACATAAGCTAAACTATAGAACACAGAGACATTTTGACTCATCAGTCCTCACCACCTGCTGCCTGGGAGAGACCTTGCTGATGCAGTAGCTCTACCTTGTGTCTGGCTGCTGTGCTTTCTCTTGCCATGGTGTATAACTCTTAAAGTTAACTGTAACTGTCTTACCCAACAATGCTTTGGAAACACTGTTCTTGAAACCTTCATGCCAATAAAGCCCTTTAAATTTAATACTTTTTCATTTTGGAGTGAAGGGGGGCTGTTCCCATAAGGTATAATACATTTACAGTGTGTAGATATTTTTCCTCATGCTTCTATTGTCATAATTACTGACATTCTAATGTTATGTTATATTAAGACACTTTCACATAAACATGCACAACAAGTGAATGTCAATGAAAGCCAGAAGCTGTTAAGTTTAAGTCAAGAAAGAAAACAGTTTTGGTAAACAGGGAAAAATATACAAGGCAACCAATTACATTCAACAATGCATTTTATTATATTATATCCAGGGAGGATAGGTACATTTCCTTGAATGTGCTGTCTTCAAAGAAACTTATTTCACTTCCTATAGGGAGAGAAAGATGTCAGAAAGCAGGCCAGAAAAGGAATTTGTGTGTAATAGCGATTACATTCTTCCAGTGCAGTCGTAGGATAATCTTGAGACCTGGTCGTGAATCAAGAATCAGTCAATGTTTAATCTTATAATATTAAAGTCAGCAGAAGCCACCTGACCATCACTAGACATCACAACACATATTGACCTAAAATGAGCTTCTGTATCAATAATGTGAAGTCAAATTCAATGACTAGCCTATATACTCTCCATGTAACACGAACACTGCCACGTCATAATTTCAGATGTTGAGGGAGGAGTGAGGAAAGTTACGGAACGAATGACAAGGAAGGTGAAGACTGTGAGGAAACTGAGAGGAACATACCAGGAGTCAATAAGCCAGGAACCAGTGTGAAAGATCTGAGGTAGGAGATGGACGGACAAAGTGATGAGACAGGGAGGGCAGAAGGAGCTCTAAAACAACAGAAAAATATGAATGATATCTTAAGGGCAAAACATGTAGCCATGGAAAAGAATTAGCTTAATTATTTCCATGAACAATAAGAGGGCATGAGATGGGGAAACAGGCCATAAAACTGCAGTTTACCACGGGCTCAACGGGCTACCGACTGCTTCAAGATGTCAGGGAGATTCCTCTCCCTGACATCTGAACCCTGCAAATGTTAGAGGAAGTGTTTGACATGCTGAGGCTGAAGATAGAAGGCCTGACAGAGATGGAGAGGGAGTGTGTGCTGACTGGCTGAAGTGGCAATTACATTAAGTGTGGAGCTGCACCAGGGAGCAGGTAAGCTTTATGGAGACATGATATTACTCTGCCACACAGGAACAGCAACACCGTGGAAGCAGACGTCTCAGTGAAAGCAGTTGCAGCCTACCCGAGGCTAACATCCTGTGAAGGCTTCATTGAAGTTAGCTTTGTCTTTGGGAAAGCAAAGTTGGCACCGCAGCCAGACGTCACTGTTCCCAGACTCGAACTGCGTGCTGCAGTGCTTGCAGTTGAGATAGCTGAGATGATCCTTGCAGAGATGGATCTGAAGGTCGACAGTATTCCGTACTACACTGACAGTAAAGTGGTTCTCGGATACATCCGCAACCAGTCAAGACGTTTCTACGTCTACGTGAACAACAGAGTTCAGCGTATCCATCAGACTTCTTCTCCTGCACAGTGGTATTATGTTCCCACAGATCTCAACCCTGCTGACCATGGTTCAAGGTCTGTCACAGCTGCCCTCCTTCGTAGCACCACATGGCTTACCGCTCCATCCTTCCTCAAGAAGCCATCTACCTACTGTTCTGAGCCTGAGGAGACCTTTGGCCTCGTTGACCCTGCCTCTGACTGTGAGACACGTCCTGTAGCAACAGTAAACCTCACCTCTGTTTCTCAGAACCAGACAAGCTCAAACACTTGGAGCGTTTCTCCAGGTACAACACTCTCCTCAGAGCAATAGCGCGTCTTATCCACATAGCCTCATCCTTCTGTTGCTCCACAGAAAGTAACTGCCGAAGATGGCACATTTGCAGCAACGGCCCATCTGGAGAGGAGTTAGAGAAAGCCAAGATCTTTGTGCTGAAGAGTACACAACATGAGGCTTACATGGGAGTACTAAAGAGCCTGAAAGCAGAGCGTAATCTCCCATTGAAGAGCCCCCTCCGTGAACTGTACCCTTTTGTTGATACTAATGGACTTTTGAGAGTTGGGGGTCGCATCATACAGTCCAAGCTGGAGCAAGGTGAAGTGAAACCTATCATCATCCCAGGGCGACACCATGTGGCAATTCTGATTGTGCGCCACTATCATGAAGCTGTGAAGCACCGAGGACGGCATTTCACGGAAGGAGCTATCAGAGCAGCTGGAGTTTGGCTGATTGGCGCAAAGAGAGTAATAAGCAGTTTACTTTACAAGGGCGTCACTTGCAGAAAGCTGCACAGAGCTACAGAACTCCAACAGATGGCAGACCTGCCAAGGGAGAACGTTGGTGTGTTCGGGCCATGGGAAGTTGTCTCTCGCCGCACTAGAGGACGACATGCTAACTCTAAAAGGTGGGCTGTAATGTTTTCTTGCCTGTGTACAAGAGCTGTACGCATCGAGGTGATTGAGACAATGAATGAGCGCCTTGATAAGATTCTTTGCCATAAGAGGACCCGCTAAACAAATACGGTCAGACTGCGGCACAGACTTTGTTGGAGCCTGTCGAGAGCTGCAGCTCGAAGAACCGAACCGCAGTTTGGAGAGTGTTCAGAAGTACCTGCAAGAGAACACCTGCACATGGGTGTTCAACCCACCTCACACGTCGCACATGGGTGTGGCATGGGAATGGATGATTGGCATAGCCCGTCACATTCTTGGCGCCATGCTTCTGGAACACAAGTCACACCTTATTCAAGAGGTTCTGACCACACTCATGGCTGAGGTTACGGCTATCATGAATGCCAGGCCTCTAATTCCAGTTTCGTCAGACCCAGAATCGCCCCTTATCCTTACTCGAACAATGCTTCTCGCTCAGAGGACTGGAGCTGCAACTCCACCCCCAGGCACCTTTGGGAGCAAATCTCTTCTCAAAGAAGAGTGGAAGCAAGTCCAAAGTCTGGCAGAGATCTTTTGGTGTAGGTGGCGACGGGAATACTTGAGCACCTTACAGATCCGGCACAGGTGGCAAGACAAGAGACCTTCACTCAAAGAGGGGGATATTGTCATGTTAAAAGACGATCAAGCAAAGAGAAATGTGTGGCCCATGACCATTGTTGCAAGGGCCTTACCAAGCCGGGACGGCCTTGTGGGGAAGGTCGAAGTGAAAGTTGTGAAGGAAGGGACACCGTCTCATCTCTGAAGTTGTTCTTCTCCTCTCTGCAGAGGACTAAACACCAATCAGGATAGTGTGGGGTTTACTGAACTCAGGCAGGGAGCGCTATGGACTGTGTTTTCTTATGTTCAGTGATTTATGCATGGGTTTACTGCTTCCTACTGGCCATTTAAATATCTAATTGTTTATTTCTGAAGTAGGAAGTTGTTGCTTTAGTGATACAGGAAGTAGATGTGCTGGGTGACCCCCGAAGTTGTTTTCAGCATGCACAAGGGATTCAGTTCACATATTTTGGTGCTGACGTAAAATCTCTCGCCATCCTCCTGCATATGTCTTGCTAAATGCAATGGGCCTTTCTCATTTCCCAAATTTCTGACTCCTCGACTCCTCAATCCTCGAGCGTGTGACCCAGAAATCGATCTCAGCACGCCATCTTGAAGGACATCTCAATTCTTAAAATGGGCATCGAGGAGCGAGGAGGCTTGCTGGAGGAGCTATAAGCAAGGATACATCGGTGTATCCTTTGCGGAAGTATTTTCAGCCATAAATTAATAATAAAAAATCTCCCAACACGCCGACAGGATCGGTCAGGATCTGGTGTTAATTCATGTTCTGTGTTCTTCTTCACATCCAAACAGTCTCACACAGAGTCCAGTTTCATACAGTAAGATGAGGTGATGATGGCACAGTTGATAAGATGCCTGCCTTTAGTGTGAGAGACCCAGGTTCAATCCCCCACTGTGACCCATCCACCAATGTGTTCCTGAGCAAGACACTTAACTCCTAGTTGCTACAGAGGCGTGCGACCTCTTACATGTATAGCAGTTGTAAGTTGCTTTGGATAAATGTAAAGCAAGCCAGGCAGCCTTCTGTGTTTGAGAACGGTGCTGTTTTTTAATCGCCCACTAGAGGGCTGCAGCGCCACAATAACCAGCCTAGTTCAAATGAACAAAATGAATCAAAAAAAGATATAGAAATATATAAATATGGAATAGAAGAACAACGTTGCAGATATATATACATGTGCATTATTCTATATTTTATAACAGTGTTAGAAAGGCAAGAAAATGTAGTGCGCTTGTCTACACAGCAGGGTGTTCACCTGCAGCTGATTTTCGCCGCTCAGAATCAATCCAGTGATCATCAGACTCAGATGTTAAAGTGTGAAGTCTTCATTTGCAGAGACCAAATACGCTTTTAACATGCCGTTAGTTAATGAAAGTAATTCACTTGCCGGCTTGTTAAAGAGCGACCAGGCTGCTTTCAAACAGGCCAACTGTGCCACTACCAGTGCCATGAGTGCGCTCACTGGATTTCAGTTGTATTATTAGAACAATAAAGCCTTAAACTGTAAAAAAGATTTGCCTGATTTTCTAAATGTTTGTATCTGCCCAGCTCTGTGACTGTGACAAGCCCGGAGAC